TCCCAAGCCAGTTCTTAACCATCGCGCCACTCGGCCGGCCCCGCAGTGTTACTTTTAAGAGTTGAAAATTGAACATCACCCAATGTCTATTAATAGGAGAGTGGTCACGTGAAAAATCAAGCGAATTTACTCAAAGACCACGAAGCTGGAAAAAGGAGCTCCCCACTCGCGTCCTCAGAAAAGGAGAGAAAAAGGGCTCTTTCTAAGAACTCAAGTGGAACTTTCAGTGCTTATTTTTGGTACAGATGAGGAAGTGCAGAGCAGAAAGACAACCTAACAACGGGCCCTTTTCTTGGGTTCAGTTGCTAAAGAGGCACAAATTGGAAGGAGCTAGAATAAGAGGATTGGAGGAAAGGAGCTAAATATAAAACGACATGACCACCCGGACATGTGTGGAGAAGGAGCCTTGAAAACACAACAGTAAAGAAATTACTTTTGTGTGTGTGTGTGGTCCGCTTAGAAGCTCTGATGACACTATTTCTGCAAATCACAGTCATCCTCGTGAGATGTATGGGAGGGGGTTTGTCCAACAGGCCCTGGTGGTACTTTGGGGACTTAGATCGTCCCAGTGGGATGCCTTGTGATGAGGACCCAGATTCAATCGAGCTGTGGGGTGGAGTTCAGAGACCTCCCCTCCCTGGCTCCCTGGAATTGGGGTGCCACGGACCATGGGGGAGCACCTCCTGAGGCTCACAGAAAGCCACCCCAACCAAATGACTCATGGAAGAAACTGACTGCTCAGACTGGGGGTTGGGGGTGGGACAGGATGTAACAAGCCCAATTCCTGTGGGTCAGGGTGGGATTTTCTGAAGGGTGGTTCTATTTTGCAGAATTCTTTTGTTAATGGGTGACTGAAACTAAACCTAAACTGCCTTAAAAAAAAAAAAGTGTTTTTCGGTTCCTGCGATAGGAAAGGACAGGGAGGGACCTGCTCTGTAGTTTACCTGGCTTAGGAGTTAAAAGGTGTCTTCAGTACCTTCTTCCTTTTTCCCTTTCCTTCAACTGTGTGTGTGTGTGTGTGGGGGGGGTATGCTTATCCCCTCCTCCTTCAGTCTCCTCCACTTGGTGGGAGACACACCCCAGGCACCTTCAGACTTCCTTCAGTTACTCTAGACAAGCTTAGAGAACGCTGAGGAGCGAGAGATGATCTTTCTTTTTTGTATCAATACATATAAATCCCCGGGGAGGACTAAGATTGGTCCTCCTCGAGTTACACAGCCAGCTTTTGGACCCACTGCTGTGGCCAAGAGGATTGGCCAAACCTAAGTAACGTGTCCAGCTCTGTGGCTGAGGCAGGGTGGCTCTCCTATAACCAGCAGCCCCACCAGAATCATGTGCTTGGCGTAGGGGAGGAGCAGTTCCCCAAAGGAAGAAAGAAAATTGTTATTGCGAGAGGGAGGCATTCATTCCCCTTGCGCTATGGAACTAAAAAAAGTCATGTTTAACATACAGCTTTTTTTCCAATCAGCCCCATCCTTAATCCAAAAGACACCTTGTGCAAATTAGAAACATTAGCCCCTTCCTCTAGACGTTTTGCTACCATCTGCTAGAAAATTATCACCTTAAATACACTAATTTATAATGACTACAAATGTGATTGGTGCCCCGAGTTGTGCAGTGTACCCTTGAATACAGCTGAATGCAGCAGCTCTGCCCACTCAAATACTATAACTCCCTTCAATTACTTCAGTCCCTCGTTAAAGAAAGCTCTACCCCATAGAGCTTTGGGCAGGGGCAAGGCAGAGACAAAAAGGGCAGAGCCATAAATGGGAATGACAGCTGCCTCCCACCACCCCTTCCCCAGTGCCCACAGGGAGCAGTGTGCTATCCAGGAGACAGTGACCAGGAGTTCCAGGCAATGACCATCAGCCCAGCAAACTGGAGCCGCACAGGGCCAGTTTGAGTGATGAGAGGGTCCCCAAAGAGCAGCTTTGGGGAGACAACTTGGGAAGGCTATGAGATAAAACATTTGCTTTTCCTCTGAATGCTAGAAATAGCAGATCCTTGCAAAGAAGCAGGGGCAGGCAGACACTAGATTACATTAGCAATAAAACTACATGGAAAGTATTTGTCAGGTCAGTGAGCAAAACAGGATAAAGAACAGCACAAATAACACCAAGCCCACAGCTCACACCTCTGAGGATGTGAGGCAACTCTCACTGGGGCGGGTCATGGGAAGTCCGAGCTTGGCAGGGACTTCGCAAACCACGCCAGACCTGGCCCCCAAGGAGGGCTCCACGGTGCTGAGACTGTATCCACAGAGAGTTGCTGGGAGGACATTCAAGATGGAAGGTCGCCACTCTCCAGGCCTCCCTGTGCCCTTCTCAAAGTCCACTCTGTCCTGGACTCAGCTCAGCCAGGGCTCTGGCGACCAGAAAAGACAGGCTCAGAGATGAGCATGGGAGACTGAGGGAGTGACACAGCAAGCTTTGGGGGACAGGATTTTGGATTCACCCAGGGATTCTCATGTCTGCCTAGGGCAGGCACTGGTGGGCAAGCAGTGAGCTGGGGCATTTCACAGCTGCTCCACTAGGGGTCATCACAGTCCCAGAGTAGAGGGGGAGGAGGGGGAGCTAAACCAACCTCACCCCTCCCCCACCACATCCCCTTCCCAAGCTGTGAGTGACAAATATCTATCCAGTGGGGTAAGGGGAATGGTGGTGGAGAAATGGCCCTCAAGACTGCCGTGTGTGAGTGTGTGTGTGTGTGTGTGTGTATGTGTGTGTGTGTGTGTGTGTGTTCGGGTGCTTGATGTGTGGGTGTGGGTGTGTTTGGGTGTGTGATGTGTGGGTGTAGGTGTATAGATAGGCATACACTTGATAAAAATCTAGTGACCATAGGTACATAGAGGTGGCCCTTTGTACATGTGAACAGGGGCATGTATGTGGGCACAGACAACTGCATGGATATAAGTAACGTACATGAAAATGCATGAATGCATGAGCGTGATTGCAGGTGTGGGTGTGTGTGCACACAGATATACAGTCGATAAAAGTCTAACGCCCATGATGTGTGACATTTGTGTTCCTCTGACAGGAAAGTGTATAGGGCCACATGTATATAATAATACATATGTATGAGTGAGCCTGATGTAAGCATGAAGTGTGTCTGTAGGTGTGAGCAGTCCACATGTGTGTGAATGAGTGTAACATGCAGCAGAAGCACTTGTGTGAATGTCTGAAGGGTGATTTACGTGCATGGCTGAGAGTGTGTGAGTGTGTGAGCATTAGTGTGGGGGGTGCGTACATGAGTGTGTACCAGGGTGTGTGTGAGTGTGTGAGCCAGTGTGTGCCATGGGAGTGTCTCTGGAAATGAATGTGAAAGCAGATTCGAGTATGAGAATGAGTTGTGTACGTCTGTCATGGAGGGA